AGGAAGAAATTAAAATTCTAAATAGCGCAATATACTGCTAAATGATCCAAATTCCTAAAATTTCTGCTACTTTGAAAAAATAAACAGGAATATACTTGTGTTTACTTGCATCAGTATATATTTGGTTTTCATTATTATGAACGAATTTCAGATTAAAATGATAAGTGAAAAAAGCATTCGGAAAATTACAATAGTTCAGTCCAGCATTTAGTTAAGCATACTTTTTATAAAGGCAAAGATTGATCGGTTTTTTTTCTTGATTTTATCAAGCAGGATGTGGAAAGTCATTTCTTAAACTAAAATGTTTGTTTGCTTTTCTAGAAATTCAACCTTGATTTGAAGGGTAAAGTTGCATATTAAATCAGATGACCTATATATATGACCTATATATTCAGGGAATAGACTTGCTATAAATTTTTTTGTAACGTTTATTTTCAGATGGCTTGGGGTAAAACGTATAAAATTGGCTGTGGCATTGCTACAAACTGCAATGGTGGCACGAGACTGATGGTCGTTTGCCATTATTGGCCAGCGTAAGCTTTTGTATTATTGTCAAAGGAAAATGCTCCTAAATGCACCTATGCTGGTTGTTATGCTTGTTGTTTTTGTAATTCAAACTAGTATTTCAAGAAAATATCCATCCTAAACAATTTCCCTTTCATTTATGCCATATTGAACTAATCGAAAACATTCCATACTTTATTAAGCAAGGTTTTAGTGAAAATATCCTGAATGAGCTTATATATGAGCCTGGCGAACCATGCAACAACAACAGTGATTGTCATACCAGGAAATGTTTACACGAGTTCGGGTTGTGCATAAAATGAAAGGATCTCGCTTCTCCTTTTTTTTTTTAAATTTTGACTTTATAACATATAATTGACGGTTAATAAGGGCACGTTTACTGGCTATTATGGAATAAAAAATTTCTTAGCGTTCTGTTACAATGATATCTTCCATCTGATGAATGTATGGAATAATTGCCAATTTGGTTTAAATATCACTCATCTAACCGAGAAAGAACGAAGAATAAAGCAAAATTTAGTTATTCAAAACTATCAGC